AAAATAAAAAATATAAAAATTTACAAAAAATCAAAAAAAAAACACATGATTTAAAAATCTTTCTGAGCAGAAAACAAAAAACCAAAAAAAATGCCCCCCCCCCCCCCGAAAAAAAATGAATAATAAAAAAAAAAAAAAATATATATATATATATATATATATATATATATATATATATATATATATAATAAAGAATTAACCTCATCATAAAATAATATGCAACAATAATAAAACTGTATCCTGAATCATCTAGGCCTACTACCTATAATGAACTAACCCTAATGTATACATAAAACATCTGTTCGTAAATTGTTATCGTAATTTAAATACGTCAATGTCATTGTGAAAAATGCATTCGTACCAGAATAAAATAGAAAAATACGTTGCGATGCTAGCAACAAGTATTTTTACGACAGGTCTGTGAAATCGCTGTTTAGGTCGCTTACAATCACAATTCTGCGGTTTTAAGTGACAAACGGCAATTTTGTTCATAAGGTATGAGTACTCCACTAATGCTTGCCTTACAAACAGATTATTCTAGTGAATAGCAACGGTTATCTTAATTCAACAAAGATACACCCTGGATTTTAGTGCTCTTCTCGGTAACCAACAATCACTGTTGTTTCCAACACCAGGGTGTCAAGTTCTTTTATTTTTGATGATATTCCCACAATGCACTATTTTCAGTTTTGTGGTCTTGAAATATTTTTCGGTGTCTTATGTTGATTGTGTGAAAAAAAATAATGGAGAACTTCTGTAGGTCTGTTTTTTTAGGTAACACAAGCTTAAAGAAGATTATAATAGCAACAATGTAACAGATACCTCGATGTAGTTTCCAAATTTTCCTTTCCATTCACATCCTGAATTTTTACAAACCACAACAAGTTTTCTTTCCAACTCTCTTCTTATTGCGACGTCAGGGAATTGCTAAATGTCATTTTGGATTTATGAAAAACAAGTGAAAATAATCATTATCAAAATCCTTTGCATGATTATATATAAAGTGAAAATGCTTGAAATCAAATTCCTTATAATACTTAAAGTGTTTTTGTCCTAATGCTTCCTATTTTCCATTCATTTTCCTTTCTACGATATTTAAGCGCTACCCTTGATATAAAATAACAAAGACTCTTCTTATCGCTGAATGTAACACTTAGATCAATATGAGAACTCATTTAGAACTTCATTTAGTGTTTAGTATTAAAAAGCACACATAATTAGCTACAGGCCTTATAACGGATTACCATTTGTGAACTCAAACCTCAGATTTGTGAGTACGAATGCCCAAATTTACGACTCAGGCCACGAATCAAGTACCCCAACGTAAAATTATTAGCCACGACCACAGCGTTACGACACACGAGCCACTATGACACTGTGTTCGTGTCTACTAATTCTATGTTGGGGTAATTTTAATTAAAATTTAAATTAAATTAAAAATTCGTGACTCTGGTCGTAAATTTGGTCATTCGTACTCACAAACCAAAGGCTCATGGTACCATACAGAGATTATTGTTTATGAGGCCTGAGCTAGAGACATAAAAAATTAACTGAAAATTCCATGTCACCCTGGTAGAGGGTAGTTAAATAAACTGGTCAGAGTGTATATCTCGTAATCTTCATTACCTGCGACTGCGTAATGTACACCTTATCTCCATCATCTTCGCACGGTTTACAGACTGGATCGTCCAAGCTAAAAGAACAAAACCATATAACACAGGCTTATTAATTTCAGTTTAGAATATGAACGAACGAAGATATATTTCCGTATTTAAGTCTAAGCGGCCCAAGAACAATTTAGCGCGATTTTTAAATGCCAAACAGTTGAAAAATACAGGTTATCTTATCCATTCTATGTAAACTTTGCTCCCATAATCCCATAAGTAGGTTACCAATTGCGTCTACGTTTAAACTCCTTGTTCAAATACCTTAAAAGATTAACATTTACCATCTGAAAAATAATAACAAAATAACTTACCTGATTACATACTCAAAACAATCTGCACAGTATCGGTGTCCACAGTGACTCTGCACAGGCCTCCGTAACACCAAACCACAGAAACTACAGAGATACTTTTGAATTAAATCGGCTTCAGGGAACAAATCAAAGCTGTAACCACGAGGACTTCTTCCGACGTTTTTGGCATTAGTTGTTGTACGGGTTATTGTTCCCCCCGCCTTGTCTGTCGCTATTATCTATAAAAGAGTAGGTTAAAAGCACTCTGTCAGAACAGGCATCAAAACCCGACAAGTCCGATAAGTACTTTTTCATAATAATAGGTCGCCGGGTAAGGTGAGGACAGGATAAAACATGAACAGTTTTCTTGCAGATACATGTATACCTAGAAAAAACTAAAATGAAACTTGGTAGTATAAACGCTCCACGCATGTTACTAGTACATGTACTTCACCCCTGACTACAGCGTTCCCATGCCAGTGACTCAGTCGCATGCATTTATTATAAAATTTTGTTAATTTTAGTGAAGAATTATGCATCCCAGTTTTTTCTCCCTTTCTAATTATACCTATATAGCATATGTTTTCCTCTGTCAATAAATATCATATCATATTATCATGGCGCAGGCAATGCTTATGTCATTTCAGGATGAGACCGAAACCTATAATCATTCTAAAATAACACGTCATAGCTAAATCGGGAAATGGAAAATAAAAATCATTCGGATGAATGTTTGGCACACATGTGAGTCCCAAGAAGGCCCTTTTAATAAAGGCGAAATCTTTCAATATGGCAAATGCCCTACTTCAATTTCATGGGCCGCTTCAACAAAACTCTGTTGATCTTCGTTGTTTTCTTCTTGGTCCATCTGCATCCAGCCCAGGCCCACATCATCTTCAAGACGCCTCACTGAATATGGCTTTCCATCGCTGTTATCTGTTTCATTTAAGGTCACTATTATGTCTTTGGACGCCAAGTTCTTGGATTCAGTCGCCCTCCTCTGCTCCACGTGCACCCCATGGTGGCCGTGACACATGGCAAAAATAATCCAAATAAAATTAGATGGGCGACCAGCCATCAGTGTCTTCACCAGCTGATCTATAAATGCTGTCCGAGGCATCTCTTCTGTGCCAACACTGGCCACTTCATCTCTGCAGTCGTGTACGTTCACAATGATCACCGTGCCCCCTTGTCTCTCAGATTGTCTCGAATGTACTTCAACAATGTCGGATAAATTTTGATGAAGTTCTCTTAAATTGTTTATTCTTGTGCATCTGGTTGTATGTTCCGTCTCCGACCTCAGGAACGCATCAGCATACCGTCTAACGCGGCACCTATTGACACTACCAAGAGCATTGGAGACGTTGGCTGTTATCGTCGCTACAGTTGCTGATACAAAACTGTTCATACGTTTCATTAGAGAGCTTATGAAAAATGTTTCTTCTCCCTGCAACATCGCCATGATTATTTTTTGTTTTCATCTTGGAACCAATTGAATTTCTAACAGATAATGATGGAAAGTCCCTAAATTAAATAAAGCCCATGGATGAAGTTCCCCTATTCAGCATATTCATATATTACCCTTTTTTGCGGTTTTTTACCAAGAAAATACATTTGAGAACATTCTTATATGTAAAATGACATTATATTTTTCAATATTACATGAATACTATGAACAGCAGTGTTTTCAAAGAATATCATAAATATCATTACTTAAAACATGAAATCGAATAAAGAACGACTAAAAACTACATTTACCAAAAAAAATCCCCTGAACTATTTTTGGATCTTTTAGTACTGCGTACCGGTACTTCTTCGCACAGACGAAAGTGTAAATCCTGCTTTTTTCACGACGGCACCTATTAAACCAAATAAACCAAATAAATTATCAAAGAAGAGAAACTGTTTACATATCTTAGTTTGATTATTTTAATCGTCAGTGGACCACATTTTGTGCTGATGACGTTAAGGCATAGACCACGTGACCTACATGCACACGGTACCACGAGGTCTTTGTTTACATCTACACAGACTGCTCGCGTTAAAGCTGGGGTCAGGTTAACACGGTGACAAAAGACCACAATTACTGAACTAGCCACTGTGCGGGGTACTTAACAGACGGGGCACTACTTCTAGTGTGGTTAATCAAGGCTATAACATGAAGAAAGAGAAGGAGACGCTGTTCTATGTACACGTAGAGGACACGGACTCGGGGGTAAAGGAGACGTTTACGTATAACTTAAAACCCGAGAAGAAGGAGAAGAGATGGAGAGTTAGGGTGAGTCGGATGGTCAGGGCGGGCATATCATGTCGCATCACAAGGTTCACCTGTGTGTTAGGGCTTGGGCCTGTTGTTGTATACTATGGCTGGACAAATCAGCATATAGAGTAAAATGGGCCTAGTAATATAAACGGGGCCCAAGCCATGTACATGTGCTCCGCTAAAATATTATGAAATATGAACGTTACAAAAATAGGCACATCTAATATGGTATTCCTTGTATCAACTGCTAAATAGGGGGAAGTTTCGTTCAATTCTTTTTCAAAAAGATGCCAAAATGATTGTTTGAAGTTCAGAACACAAATCATATGCATATGATGAATTGAAAGGTGGCAATTTTTCATTGTGTGACGTATATAAGGCCTACTGTTTTTCTACAAGATCGCGCATTTTGCGAGCGTGACATTTAAACCATTCTCATGCCACCACTGTCTAATCACCGTTAGTAGATGTAAAAGAAAATAGTTTGGTCTCGTTTAGCATAAGTGGAAAATAATGTGGTATCTGGAGTTTTCAGACCGACCCCAGAGAAAGTGAATATAAAATGACTGAAGACTCAGTAAATAATTATTTCATCCCCAGGCAAATAGATAATAACATGAGAGCTGAATGCAGATTAAAAAAAATACATATACATTTCTTCAAAATTACCTTGAATTTTCAATTCAAAGTTGAGAGGCAACACTGGTAGGCTACTATCGTGATGACACAGAAAAATGGACAACGGTCCTCAAGGACGCATTATCACATTTAAAATCCGGTTGCCAAAATGCAAAATAAATTGGCCCATACTGATGTAACTACATTTGGTATATGTGGACACCCGTACACACAGGTGTCTTTATATGGTTCATTATCACGAGCTTAACTTAAGCAAGCCTTTACCCGCCCAGTTGCTATAATTTATATACACAACAGTAGGGCAGCATGCCGGTTTTGTGTTTATGCAAGCCTCCAATACGTGAATTAGACTGGTTTCACAATTATAGATATTGATCCGAAATGTACGGGTCGCTTGACAGACATTTTAGCTGGAAGACTGCATTTTATTTCCTGCAGGATTAGAATTCGCTTCAGGGATACACATGACCCTTTGTTTACCTACGGGATCTTGTTGATCATAAACTTCTGTGGAATATGAGTATGTTTAGGATTTTAACTATGTGATTATTATATTGCTACATCATGGGCCAAGTTTGCCTTAGTATCTGCCCACTCCTTCTTAGAATTAATATTTCTTTCTAAATTTATTTAGAAAGGAAAAAAAAATAACAACCAGGGTTTGGAGAATGGGGGATACGCGTTGTGCAGATATATTTTTCGTGCCTTGACTTGGGCGTAGACAAATGCAAATTCATACCTCTAGAAGTTAAAGTCAACTTGAGGTATGATTTTGCATTTGTTTACGCTCACGCTTCTTATGAATTGAGATAGATAAGATACTTTATTCTCGCCCGGGGCTTGGTGATTGCATCTGCCTTTTGCATGTAATGTTCAGTTGATCAGATTTCGATCCAATAATAATAATAATGCCTTGATACTAATACATGTATATGATAATACAACTGATATTTACGGAACTAAATTATTTAGGAGCGCGCTTGGTATACTGCTGTGACGCTGCTGAGTCAGTTTTGACTGAGGGCAAATTTCATGGCTCTTTGGGCAACTATTCTAGAAAGGAACTTGTACAAAACCTGCGTTATTGTTGTAAGAAGAAACCCAAAGTAAACCGACTGTATTGGTGGTGTTTTGAACAATGTTTGCTCTTATTCGCACCCCATGTCTTTGACGCAGGTTAAATGTAAACAACGTATGATTATGGCATTTTTGGTTTGGTTTGTTTACAAATTTATTTACCTATTTAACCCGGTGTGTTTATTAAGCCATTATTGTTGATGCACAAAATAGATTTATCGGCAGGTGCCATATGCTTTGTCTTCACCTCTTTCAGAGTGTTTTGAAATAAGGGACGGTGACCCCTTTTTCTCCCTAGCTTGTAATGCTGCTGGCGGCCAAATGATTTCCCTGTTGGACTCTCATTTTATATGGTTTTTAGACGAAATCCATTTCAAATTAAGTTATATCAGAATCCTACACAGAGGCTTTTATCCATTACGTCAAAAGCAGCTCTTACAAGTACAGTTGGGAGGGGGGGGGGGGCAACTCTTTAGAAGGGGATATGTCCACAGGTCCTATCAAATTTAGATGTAAACGACCAAATAGATTTTCCTCCCTGTCCCTGTGCCCTTGCAGAAAAGCTAGTTAGATATAGGCCTATCACATCTACCTTGGTCTGGTTAGATATAGGCCTATCACATCTACCTTGGTCTTTTTTAATATGGTAAACTGATGATGTTTGCTTATTTTCAACATCGCTGTAAGTACAGACATGATTTCAAAGAGAACATTTTAGAAAAAAATATGAATTGAATCTTGTCGTAAAACTATATTATAAACCATAAAGTATTTAATAAAATCAATCTTATTTTCAGATGAGGAACGCCGCCAAAGCCGTAAGACGCGGTGCCTCCAGAGCCGCGCGCGTCTTCTCCATGCCGGCTGAAGCAGACGGTCAGGTTGTCACCACCACAATGCTGTACCTATGAGAAAGAGGGAGTGCTCCGACATACGGACGTTATATGACAGAACATTTATGTAAAAAGTGGTCTCAGGCGACTCCAGGTGATATAAAGTTACTTCATACTGACAGGAGACTTATATGAGACAGTTGGGCTTTCTTAAGAGAAAAGAGCACCGGCGTGCGAGTTTCGCTGAAGGTGGAAAGAGTAGCAATGGAAATGGGAGGTTTCCACATCCGATGATCAA